AGACGGGCGAAACCAAAAAACCACAAAAACAAACTTTTTAAGAGAATGGGGAGGGGATGTTGAAAAAGATGGTTTTTTGGTTTTGCCTCGTAAAAAGATGGTTTTTCATAGAAAAACCAACTTTTACCTCGTAAAAAGATGGTTTTGGCCTGGCCTGCCTCAGGAAAACCATCTTTTTGCGAGGTAAAAGTTGGTTTTTCTATGCAAAACCATCTTTTACGAGGCAAAACCAAAACACCCAAAAAAACCATCTTTTTTAGAGAATGGGGAGGGGGTTTTGAAAAAGATGTCTTTTTTGGTTTTGCCACGTAAAAAGATGGTTTTTCATAGAAAAACCCAACTTTTCCCTCGCAAAAAGATGGTTTTGGCCTGGTCTGCCTCAGGAAAACCATCTTTTTGCGAGGTAAAAGTTGGTTTTTCTATGAAAAACCATCTTTTACGAGGCAAAACCAAAAAACCAAAAAAACCAACTTTTTAAGAGAATGGGGAGTGGATGTTGAAAAAGATGTTTTTTTTTTGGTTTTGCCTCGTAAAAAGATGGTTTTTCATAGAAAACCAGCTTTTCCCTCGCAAAAAGATGGTTTTGGTCTGGTCTGCCTCAGGAAAACCATCTTTTTGCGAGGTAAAAGTTGGTTTTTGGCTCCAAAACCATCTTTTACGAGGCAAAACCAAAAAACAAAAAAAAACAATCTTTTTTAGAGAGTGGGGGGGGGGGATTTTGAAAAAGATGGCTTTTTGATTTTTCCTCGTAAAAAGATTGTTTTTCATAGAAAACCAACTTTTCCCACGTAAAAAGATGGTTTTATAGTCATTATTCCTATTGATTCAGTACGATTCCTATTAATTTCAATAAGAGTCTTATTGATTTTAATAGGGTTCGTATTGATTTTCATAGGGTTTTCGTTCAGTTAATAAGGTTCTTATTAAATGCATACCTATGACTAAGTATGGATTTCTTCCTCCGACACGGCCTCACGGTAGGTCATGGGTGGGGGGGGGGGGTGTGAGCATATATATATATATATATCTTTATGTATAGGGGGGCCTGCAAATTTTTCATGCACATAAACATATTTTTGTTTCGTGAAGGAAGTAGCAAGTTCTTAAAGTCGTACAATTCGTTCAGGTTTAGAGACTACATCGTTCTAAATTCGGGTCTATCGAAAATAATGGAGTCGATATTTAGAAAGGAAGAATTTCCACTCATTTCGCTTTTTTGGAGATTCCCACGCAATTGAATAGTTCAGATCATCTAAAGAACGAAACTGGGTAACTAGTTATAAAATGCACGAATCACACACATCGCAACTGTCGAGTTTGTTAAAGAAGAAAACCTGCTTCTCAACGTCGTTGTTTTTGCTTAGGCGTCCGGCATGTTGATGGTCTTCCATTTTGGTTCATAATGAAACGATGAATATATGTATAATATAAGTATGAATATAAATAAAAGTAAAAATATAAATAACTAAATAAATACATAAATATAAAAATATATATATATACACATGTATGTGTATATACATATATATATATGCTCATAAAACGTACATACATATTATTCTTTTCGTAACATAGACCCACAAAATGGATAGACAAGCCTCATATGCTTGTGTTCCATTGGCGTTCTAGAGCCCGTCCGCCCACCCCAACCCCCCCCCCCCCCCGCGGGGGCTTTGAAGGTTTTGGAGGTATTTAGGAAACACAAGTGGGGCATGTGGTTTAGGGATTCGGGTTGCCGATCTCCCGACCCCCTGAAGCCTCGAGGCAACATGAGTGCATTGGAAGTGAGCTACGGCGATGACGTTGGCATCATCCTCGGGCTGCCTCTCTGGGCATCTCGGGCCAAGAAGGGAAGAATCCGTGGGGCCTTAAGTGCAAGAACCCTAAGCTAAACCCAATAACTCTGACACCCCCCCCCCCTCAACCCTACGGATCTCCTTGCGCAAGGTTATTCGGGGCCCGAACCCTTTCAATTTCACTAAACCCTAAGCTTTCAAACCCTACGCCCCTACGCTGATGTTGCACCTACTTTAGTGCTTCGCCCCGCCCCCCCCCCCCCCCTCTCCCCCCCCCCCCCTCCCCCCCCCCCCCCCCCCTCCCCCCCCCCTCCCCCCCCCCCTCCCCCCCCCCCTCCCAAAAAAAATACAGACAAAGCCAAAAAAAACAGTAGAAGCTGGTTTTCGCCCGGTTTAAACGGTCCGGAGATTTTATATGCTTCTCCTAGGCAGGAGTGTATATGAGTCGAAAGGGGATCCGCAAGATTTTCAAAGGGATGAGTTTATGAGAGCTTTACAGGATCTCTATGTCCGAAACAGTGCCCATAATTCGAGGTTAGGCTGGCTCCTTGTCTGCCCCTTTGCCGGATTGATCGAGACCGTTTTTTACATGGTGATTTTAAAGGGATTTCTTTGATTTCGTCTCAGTTGGGATTTCGGTTTTTCGGGGTCTTGGAAGGGCCTTGAAGCCAAGAGGCCAGGGCTTCGGTTCAAAATTGGCTTCAAGACCCCAAAACCCTAAACCCTAAACCCAAGTTTCTGAAAACAAGCTCTGGATTCCAGGAGCGACTTGACTTTAAACAGGAGCCCCCAAGCAGGCGCAGCGTCTTGAGTAGCCCAGCAAACTTGGCTTCAAACAGGAGGGCCCCACTAAATTTCAACCCTAAACCCTAAACCCTAAACCCTAAACCCTCAACCCTAAACCCTAAACCCTAAACCCTAAACCCTAAACCCTAAACCCTAAACCCTAAACCCTACACCCTAAACCCTGAACCCTGAACCCTAAACCCTAAACCCTAAACCCTAAACCCTAAACCCTAAACCCTAAACCCTAAACCCTAAACCCTAAACCCTAAACCCTAAACCCTAACCTAGGCCCTAACCCTAAACCCTAAACCCTAAACCCTAAACCCTAAACCCTGAACCCTGAACCCTGAACCCTGAACCCTGAACCCTGAACCCTGAACCCTGAACCCTAAACCCCCCTAAACCCTACAGCCCTCGCACGTTTTTCCGGGGGGGGGGGGGGGGGGGGCGTTTCATTACACCGTGTTCAACATCACGGGCCGCACCGTGTCCTTCATCCCACACCAGACGCCTGAAGCATGTGAGGGTTTAGGGTTTAGGGCTTAGGTTTTTTTTGGAGCTTTTTGAAGCCCCGAAAGCCTGGTCGCAGGCTTTCGGGTTTAGGGCGGAGAGTTTAGGGGTTTTAGGTGGTGAAAATGCAGAGGGCAGATAGACATCTGGGATGCCGTGTTCAGACAACCTGGCCCCATGGAGACGCAACCTGCCGAAGGGAACTTGCAATCCCAAGACCCTACCCCCTGCGATCCCTAGACCCTATAAACCCGACAAAGCTTAAAGACACATGGGGGTTTACGAAAAGAAGGGACCCCTAGTATAGACCCCCAAATAGTAGGGTTCCCTGAATAATGAGGACCCTGATAAGGTACCCCTATTTTCGGAAACCCTAAACCCTAAACCCTAAACTCTTAACCCTAAACCCTAAACCCTAAACCCTAAACCCTAAACCCTAAACCCTAAACCCTCAACACATGGAAATCTGGAAACCTCGGTTAAGGACCGCGCCTTCTTCCGGCGCCCCGGCGGCCGAGGACTTCGTGGCGGAAACCGGAGGCCAGGGACGCAAAGGCATTTTTCCGGTCTTAACACTAAATCCTGAACCCTAAACCCGAAACCCTAAACCCTAGCCCTAAACCCTAAACCCGAAACCCTAAACCCTAAAAACCCTAAACCCTAAACCCAAGTTTCTGAAAACAAGCTCTGGATTCCAGGAGCGACTTGACTTTAAACAGGAGCCCCCAAGCAGGCACAGCGTCTTGAGTAGCCCAGCAAACTTGGCTTCAAACAGGAGGGCCCCACTAAATTACAGGTACAACACTAAACCCAAACCCTAAACCCTAAACCCTCAACCCTCAACCCTCAACCCTAAACCCTAAACCCTAAACCTTCAACCCTAAACCCTAAACCCTAAACCCCAAGCCCCAAAAGAAGGTCGCAGAGCCGCAGCAGCCGAACTGCCAGTGCATGTGTGAGGGCAGCCGATGCCCAAGAATCCTTCCGCTCGATTTTGGGGAAACTTTTGGCCTCCTTTTTGGGGGGTTTAGGGTTTAGGGTTTAGGGTTTAGGGTTTAGGGTTTCGGCTTGAGGGTTTATGCTTGGGGTTCCAGGCTTTGAGGCGGACCTTTTGTGTAAAGTTGGGGCTTACTTCCGCGCCTTGCAAACGGCGCTGGCGCCCATCCTCTCACAGCCTCGAAGTTGTACAGGACTGTACAGACTCCAACGCCTGGGAGCTTGAACAGGGACCCGGAAAAGCCTCCCCCCAGCAAAAGCTCTCCAGCGTAAGTGGGCTGTGGAGCACCACAAAGCCCGTAGGCAAGGCACATCCTCAGCTCAGCCGCGGAGGTGAACCCGACCTTTCACCGCTCAACTCTGCCCGACGCCCCGAATCCTCCTAAGACCCTAAGGTCCTGAGGCCATAAGCATGTAAATGTCAAAGCCTTGTAGACCTCCAACACCCTGAAGTGGTTTCAAAGGGTCACTGAAATCCCTAGGAACCGGTAAGATCCTCAGCCCAAAGACCTAGCACACTACGAGCCAGTAAGATGATTCGCCTCAAGATCTTCCCTGGCACATCCCCAGGCTTCGAGGGCCACCAGGCGGTGGTTGTAGGGCTTTTTGGGTTTTGGGGTTCCCGGTTCAGGGGCGGGTTTCGGACTTTGGGCGTGGAAACAGCCTCCCCAAGTACCTCTTCACATGCTGTTCCCTTTTGTTGTGGGGGTGGGTGGGGGGGGGTTTGGGGGGCTGGGGGTTGGGGTTTAGGATTTGGAGGATTTGGGAAGTCCTCCTGAAAGGAAACAACTGGAAGCCCTGAAAGCCCCAAAACGTAACCCCAAACCCCAAACCCTAAACCCCAAGCTAAACCCTACACCCTCAACCCGATAAGCCCACAAGCCCTCACACGCTCCCAAAAAAAGAAGCCAG